ATATAAGAACTTGAGATTTATTATAAGTTACTTCTCGATTATAGATAAATAAAAAATTACTGTTCAAAAAAGGTTGGGATCAAATATGACCTAGAAATAATGACTTCTATTAAATAATAAGTCTTCTCAAATGGTATATAAGAAGAAAATCAAGATTAAAAATAGATAAGTTTCTCAGATGATCAGAAAAAAAAAAGAATATTTCAATTAAGTATTTCTTATTGAAAAAAAGTCTTGAAAAACAAGTCTTTAAAGAAAGCTAGAAAAATTTTTTTAATTTTTACTCTTTCATTTTCTTATTGTCTATTTAGACATTTTTAGATATCACCTTTTCTTTTTTTCAACCTATCCTTTTGTAATTTTTTGTATTCCAGTAACTTGGTATGACATACAATAGTAACAATCTGCTGATAATAATGTAGTGGACTTTACCCAAAGACATTGTAAAACAAAATATTATTCTCAAGGCCAAACTTAGAGGCTTTTATGAGTAGTTAAATTAGAATAATAGTTTAAATTGTAATATGTATCATGCGAAAATGTACTAACTTGGCTATGGGTACTCAAAAAAAAAACCAACTAATATTGTGTAACGGACTTGTACGTGTTACAAACTATACTATATATAATATATTAAATCATCCAAAAATGGTTTGCACCGGTTTTTAGAAATTGTAACATCCCTATTTAGATTAATGGTAATAATAAAAATAGAGGTACGAAATAAGGGGGTGGTGAAATAAGAAAGCATTGGTTTTTCGAAACAATTAAAAACTACAATGGCAGAATGGAAAGATCGTGAGCGTCCTGACACAGCTGTATTATTTGACGTTGATGGCACTTTGACTCCCGCTCGAAGGGTGAGTTCAACTTTTTTTCAGTCAATTTTTTATGCCACATACTTCTCAAATATCTCGTAAATAGCCCGTAAGCAAAGAAGTCTTGGAAGTACTTAAAGATCTGAGAAAGAAAGTAGTGATTGGTTTTGTTGGTGGTTCCGATATTAGTAAGCAACAGGAACAGCTTGGTGCTCGAGGTATTTTCAGTTTCTCGGGCTTCTACTACCATTTTTTATGAATGAAAAAGTATTAAGTCTACTTTTCATTATTTGTCTGCAATTAGTTATTGAAGATTTTGATTTTGCATTCGCGGAAAATGGGCTCACAGCTTATAGACTTGGAAAACAGCTATCTTCCCAAGTTTGTTTTTATTCACACCTTTATCATACCATTCTGTCAACACCAGGTTTCGCGATTCGAAATTCTTTTATTCAATAGAGTTTCATTGGGTGGCTTGGAGAAGAGAAGTATGCCAATTTGGCCAATTTCATCCTTAGGTACATTGCGGACCTTGACATTCCCAGGAAACGGTAAGTCCAACTTAATCTCTTTATGACATAACATTTACACAGTGATAACCTTGGATTCTGAACACACCTAGCGGAACTTTTCTCGAGTTTAGAAATGGCATGATAAATGTGTCACCGATCGGACGTAACTGCAGGTAATTTCATTATTTAA